GTCTGCTTTAATTTGTAGGTCAAGCTTTCCTGGTCACAGTTCTTTGAATCTTTGGCGATATATGCAATCATACTTAAAAATCAGACAATATGTCAAAACATGTCTAATACTGTTATCTGATTGGTCAATAGTATCATGCTAAAAAGAGATCAAAAGGATTTATTCTTGGAAGTGTTTTCGACGGGAACCGCCTTTTAGTTTTCCCTCAACTTTTAATCATAGATATAAAAACCTCGCTAAACAATCTTCATGAAGAAGTATCCTGTTCTGTCTGCATGAACATATTCACTGATCCAAAACAGCTGCCATGTTTACACAGTTTTTGTATTCACTGCTTGAACGGCATTCTACGAACCAGTGGTCGCCATGATATCATAACTTGCCCAGAATGTAGAAGAGAGGAGTAGAGTCCCTGGAAGTGGAAACCTGGAGCACTTGCCGACCCACTTTCGCATCAACAGTTTGCTGGACGTGTTGGCCATCAAACAGCGCAGTACAACAGGAGTTAAATGTGGAAACTGCGACAACAGAAGTGCACAGAGTTTGTACTGCTTCAAGTGTATTCTGGTGTGACGACTGTATCACTGGGCACAACATAATCAGAGCTAACAAAGAACACCATGTGTTAGCAAACTACAAGTGAAATCTGTGATCGAGTCGCAAAAGAAACAAGTCCAACAGCAGAAAAACAAAATCACCAACATTGACCAAATCTGTATTCAAATTCAGGAGCAAGCCGCTAGCGAGAAGAGAAACGCGCAGAAGTTTGCTGAAATGGTGATCCGTGTCATCCAAGCAAAGAAGCAAGAGATCTGTTTTGAAGTGGAAATTCAAGTGGCTGAGTCAATCCAACATCTTGTAACACAGAAAAGCGAGATTGACAATCAAGTACAAGTGAACGAGAAGGTACTTGAACAAGCTGAAACACTTTTAGAACGAAGCACAAGCGCTGAGACTGTGCAATTAGACAATTCATTAGATACAATCTTTCAAGGAGTCGTGAATGGTGAAAATGAAATAGTTGACTGTGACCTCCAAGGTCTTACTCGATTCATGTTCGTGGAAAACGAAACATTAATGGACAAAGTAAACGCAGAAGGAATTGGCTCATTCAAAACATTTCATACTAGTGCGAATCAATCAAGAGCTGATGGAAAAGGAACGAGTGAAGCTTTCGTTCGACTTGACGCCCAGTTTGTTTTGACAACAAGAAATGCTGACGGAGAACAATGTTATGACGAACGCGAACGCGTCACAGTGGAAATCAGAAATCGTCAAGGACATGACTGTGCGACGAAAGCACGAATCCGTGATAACAACGATGGCAGCTACAAAATGAGCTATTTTGCCAAAGAAACCGGAAAATGCGACGTGTCAGTAAAGGTGAATGGAGAACAGGTCCATGGCAGCCCATTTGTGGTTAAAGTCAAACACAGACAGTACAGACCCGTATTATCCTTTGGACAACAAGGCTCGAATGCCGGAATGTGCGCCTTAGGGCGTGGCAGTGAATGAACGTAATGAAATCGCGGTGACTGATAAAGGTAACAACAGAATTCAATTATTTAATAGTGATGGGACTTACTTAAGATCGTTTGGTAGAAAGGGTGATAAAAATGGAGAATTTAATTGTCCTTGTGGGATAAGCTTTGTCAAGAATAATAATATTATAGTAGTAGACTGTACTAACAACCGTATTCAATGCTTAATTCACTCACCAGGGTGAACACCTAATCACTTTTAGTAGTCGTGGAAATCTTGATCAACAGCTGAGGGTTCCACAAGGTTTATCTGTAGATAGCGACGGGAACATCATCGTCGCTGACAGATTTCCATCCACTGTGTCCAATATGAAAACTATCTCATAGTGTCAGACAGGGTTGAATATTGTGTTAAAGTGTTCGATATGGATGGAAAAGTTCTGTACAGATTTGGAAAAAAAGGGGAGGGGGACGGGAAGTTCAATAAACTTCGTTGCTTGTCAGTTAACAAGGCAGGAAACTTGATGGTCTGTGATGAACTGAATCACAGAGTCCAAGTGTTTGAACTGAGCGGGAAGTTTATCACAAAATTTGGAACAAAAGGCAGCGGGGTAGGAGAGTTTAAGGACTCAGTCTCTACAGCGGTTCTTAGTGATGGCAGGATAGTTGTGACTGACTTCCACAACCATCGCATTCAGACTTTTGAGTAGATTTTATGATATCCAGTCAACTGCATCTTAATATCCACATTTCATAAATATAGCTTCAGTTAGGTTATGAAAATATCAATTAAACCGTGTTAATTAAACGTTTGATTGAAAGTCCTTCCCTAGAAAGAAGTTCTAGATCGAGAGGTATACGAGAAAGCTGACTGTTAAAAGTCTGAAAAATTGCAACAATTTGTTAGTTCTGAGTAAGGAAGTTGAGGTACGATACCCCACTATTATTGTTGGAAAATTGTCAATTTAAAGCACGTTCTCATGTGTCGGTTAACCAGGTATGCACACCCCCAAAATACATGTAGTAGTCTGAGATGATACGTAACACATACATGTGCGGCTAATTCCATATTCATATTTCATATTTTCTTCCTATTTAGATTAAACCGGATGCGAGCGTTTTGGAGTTAGGAAAACTACGACAGTCATAAATTTAAACGAGATACTTATTTTGATTGCATTTTACTACAAGATGTTACTGTACTAAAATTTATATGTTAACTTACAATCTTGTAGACTGAACGGATTGCATTGTTTCTGTCGGGAAAATGTTTTGAATATCACATTCAGGGTGTTTAAGTTTTCTTGAGCAGGCAATGTAATGTTGAATTTTTTTTTTTTTTTGCATTAATAAACCGTTTATAGTAAATGTTGCGACAATTTAGTTGGCAATAATATAAAACTGTGTAATTAATGAATCAAAGAAAAAAGAAAAGTGTAAATAAATTGTATCAATTGTCCTTAAAGTTTGCTTGATCTTCTCAAACTTAACACTTCATCAACCGGAATACTATTAATGTGAAATACCTGATCCTAATTATCATAGATATTTTTATGCTTTTATTTCTCCGTAAATACTATAGGCAGGACATATGATGGTCTGTGATGTGAAGAATCAAAGGATTCAGTTGTTAAAACTGAAAAGTATTTTCTTTAACAAAAATTTGAAAGAGAGGCAGCAGAATAGGAGGGCCACTGGTGACCTAAGCTCATCCGACTCTGGTTGGATTGGTTAAGGTTTGAGCATTGCCTCTAGTAGGAAGATCTGTGATGTATTCCTGGATGGGAACGTTACTCTTGCAAGGCGCTCCTCCATCCGGGAGTGTGATTGGATACCTGTCTAGCAAATTTAACACCCTTCGAAATATGTAGTATTTTTTTACTCGCATGTAATGAATAGATACTGAGATTGAATGGAAGTATTTAAATTTAATGGAATGAATAAATAAATCATGAGTAATGTTGGAAGTGGTCAGTATAAATTATATCCTTTTATTTTATTATGATGGTTAATTCATTCAACTTTTTCTGCATGCAAGCACTGTATGATTAATCACAATATAAGTAAAGGGTTTTGATGTTTGAAGAATCTGTGATAAAAATCCTACCTTACAGCAATTTTGGGGGGCATGTTGGGGGAAGTGCTGGAAGAAATACTATACCCCTCTCTCTCAACTCCCATGAAATATACATAATCAGTACTGTACATATATTGAATTTTTCTAAAATTGATGAAACCTGGTCTCAGAAGTGCCACTCCCTCCTTCTTTTACCACCCCTAGTCTACCACCTGTTTTTCTTGTAGCTCACTTCCTTTGATCACTACCAAATTCTCAAATATATATGTATCAGAATTAGAAAAAAAAAAAAAGGTGAATTAGAATGTCAAGTGTGAGACCGAATTGGGGTTATGATACCGCACAGAAGAGTAATTTTTCATAAGTTTACATGATAAAATAAGCATGAAATTCAGCAGAGTGAAAGATTCAATAACTTAGCCAGCCTTCAAATACAGCTGTCTGCAGTCACTGCTTCTGGTCATCTTAGATATTCACCAACAGCTACGGGAGACAGCTGTAATGGAGGTAAAATTTAACTTGGCTCAGAAGTAGTTGTGAAATACATTTGGGTACACTTATGGCTATTTTGGAATACAAGATTTATATCACTCACTGCATGACTTTGGATTTAAACTGTTTTCCTTTGCAGCTCAACTGATATTCTAATCCTGACCTTGCAGCTTCACAAGAAGTGTATTTACTCCTCATGGGCTTTTGGTGGAATTGTTTTCAAAACATTAATACACTCCTGATCTAGAAAGAATATAACATTTAATTTTAACACAAAAGTGCATCAATACTTCCAGGAACCATGGGTAGAATAATAATGAAAGGTTTAATTAACTTCTAATTCTCTGTCAATGGTATACATGAGGGTAAGGGTTTGGACCTCAGAGGGGGCCCTCCCTAAACAAAACTTTTTTGAGTATCTGCTACCCCCGGAAAAAAAGTAAGGAACTGCGATTCAGCCCTTTGCATTACTTATCCCCTGACATTCAGGATACAAATTCTAGTGCTAAATGGCAAACTATGTACTGGAACTTTCAAAAAAGGCCAAACTTGACTACTTGAAGTCACTTTGTTTTGGAAATTTTACATTCCAATATTATTCCTGTGCAATTCAGTGTAGAGAACTTCCTCTAAATTGTGTTACCATAAGTTGCATAGGGTTTGTAGAATACAACAATTACAAGGTAATAAGGTATGATGAAGAAAGACAATAACAGGAAGTCAATATTAAGGACTAAAGGTAAGGTTAAGTCTGCATATGAGCTAAGTGGAGGGGGGCGTAAGCCTAAGGGGAGTCCGAAAACAGCAAAACCGCACAGTAATACGCCAAAAAACCGCAAACCGCATCGGATTTATTTGTACACCAGGGTGGAGACTCTAGTGACACAGTTTGGAAAACTTACTAACCTTACAATCAAGCATATACTCTCTCTTGCAGAAACGAGAAAAAAAACAAAAACATGATGGGGGAGTGAGGGGCAAGCGGTGAGACACTCAAGGCTCACAATAGAACAACGCAAATAGACGTTCGCCAGCCCAGACTGTTGCTTTGTCATGGCTACAGCATGTGTCCCCAACAAAACGTGTCAATCGTTTTATGTAAACACCGCTGACAGGAAGAGCGGGCTCATACAAATGAAAGGCGGGCTTTCTTGAAAATACTTCGAAAAACCGTCTGATTTCTCTGTTCGACTTCGTCTAAACTGCTAGGTATGCTCTCTGATTGTTGTTTGAATGACTGCAAACGTGCTAGATCGCATTAGAGTAACTGCAGCGCAATGGAACGGAAGAAAGTCTCGCTGAGTCTGAAAACGGGCACTTCGAGGAACAGATCGAAGGTGAGCTAAACACTTCAGTAGATTTCCTTCCCTGATCGCAGAATCAAATTGATTGAAAACGGAGTCTTTCATAGACTTAGTTGTTTTACTAAGATAAATTACGCTACGTTTTAAAAGTAAACTGGGTATCTTGCAACTCGTACTGCAGAAAGCCAGATCGAATCTTGTCTATGAACAATCTACATGTGCATGTAAACAATCCATGCATTAAGAAACAATCAATCTAAGCTTGCTCAAGGTGCTACAATGTACAGTACCGGTCAAAGGGACTGCAGCATTACTGTAATGCTAGTGTAATATATTATTGTGTGTTTTAGCTTAGTAAGTCTAATGTTACCTTTGCCTACCAGAAGATTTCGATGTCTGTAATTTAATATCTGTTAATAATAGAAAAAGAGACCCCAAGTGAAATCTTGGCACCTCCAGAATTTTACAAAAAACTTTTAGTTCCCCACCTAACTTAGGTAACTAGTGGAAGGCACAGTAGCCAGCTTAATGGTTAATGTGCCAGACTCTGACTTGAGCAGCCTAGGTTGAAGCCCTGGCCAGAATTATCTACATTGTGTTGTGTTCTTGGGCAAGACACTTCACTCTCACAGTGCCTAGGCCTCTCTCCACCCAGAAGAATAAAATAATGGGTATCAGCGATCTGTTAGGCTAATATGAGAGAATGCTGAGGAGCAACTTGTGATAGACTAGCATCCCATGATTCCCATCTACGGGGGTGGGAAGGGAGCAATACAGCTCTAGCTGCTTTATACTACTGAAAGAAGGGTTGCAATGTAAACACAGAGAGCTACAAGTATGATTGTCAAGCCATTTGAACTAAAAACTACAAGTGTAAGGCATTGATAGTTTTACTCGCAAAATCTACTTGTACACTGCACATGTAACTCAAGAAGACATTATCGGGGGATAAATCCTCCCTCCATCCATTGCCCACTCTAAACACTTGATTTTGGAAAGAGCAGCTTCCTCTGCAGTTTAGACATCGTTCTCTGTCCCTCATGGTAATCCAACTGGGTGTTTGTACTCTCAGTCGCCATTCCCTCTGGCACAGTGATGTTACTACTACTTGCTCCGGTTTTGGTTGTAATACATGTAAATGCTTTTTTATTTGAGGGGGTTATAAGCACTCTGCCCAACCTCCAACCTGCAGGGCTGGTATGTTTTCTGTTTATTTCTGCAAACTGGATTTAGGGCATCAGCAACCCGCCCTCGCATCTCCAGAATATGGCATACACTGTTAAAGTAGCAGTCCTGCAACAGGCATGCTCTTGGTAGAAGCTTGGTTAGGACAGTCTATTTGAGATGGGAGCGGCCAGTCAGAGCATTTTGAGGGTTATGTGTAGGAGATTATCCCAAATTCTACCCTGTGGCTGATCCTAACCCATTTTACGTGTAGAACAGGATAACGTTTAAATCTGTGAAACTTCTAGGCATTTTCCCAACAATACTGTCCCAAATTTCTGCATAGCCTGCTAAAGCAGTGATTCGACTGATAACAGGTGTCAGGGTATTAATTTTTTTTCATAAAATTAGGTAAAAAATTAGGATTTCATTCATTTTTTTTTTGCCACAATATTTTTTAACATGTTAACTTTGTGATCCTGTTCCATTATCATCCTGATGGCTATCAAGGAACCATCAACAGCAGGTAGATGCATCACTCCCAAAGGCACAAGCGAAAGGAAGGGCATTTTAAAGGAAGGCATATCAAACAAACCTAATCTTCCTGGGTCACCGCTATCAAAAAGTGGAAGTTATCTGAATACTCTGGAGAAATCAAAGTTCCAAAATGATGGCTTGGACTTTCACTGCTCGTTTGAAACTGACGGAAGCTCTGAGCAGGATATTGACATTCCCTGCACCCAACCAGTATCACACGACAAGATACTTGAAGGTACAATTATTCACACAATGTTATTACAGTATAAAAAGGTCTTGCACAGTTAATGCAGGGGCTTCATTAGCGTTTTCAGCAGGGGGGGGGGGCAACTGGTTTTCATGGGTGGGCAAAACCTTTTTGAATTGAACTTCTTTATGAGAAAAACTTTCCTGTAGGTGGTCAAACATGGCAAGCAAAATCATCCTCACAGCCACTCAATTTGCCTGGTGCTTAGACAGCTCAGCTCTTAATGAAACCCCTGCTAATGACTTGTGACTAACAAGGTTTTTAAACCAACAATTAGAAAGAGAGAGATCTTTCTTGTAAATGTAAATTAAGTAATTTGAATTGAATATCCAGAAACATATACATGTAGATGTTCACTAGTCTCCTACATTTACAGACTGCTCAAAGTCACATTAAATGCTCCCTATCTCCTCCGCTGTAGCTTTACACTGACATACATTCTTTTCCTTTTGTTTGCCATATATTTGTTGGACCAATCGGGGTCTAGTTATTGTATAATGTACGGTACATGTATATGTATACACTGCACCAATCACAGCATAGCTTGCCCCTAATGCCGTCCTCATGTTTTCTTTTTCTGGGAAAACCCTGACTGTCCATTGATTGGAAGACATTTTTGGTACAAACCTCAACTGCAGGGTAGTGAAAGTGGGACTGTGATTGAATTATTCAAGAAAGGAATATATAATTATGTATTAAACAGTTTGAAGTAGCCATGTGGGGATGGGGAGCTTTGTATGACTTTGGCCTGAGCAGATGTAAAGAAGACTTGGTGTCCACTTAGTAATACACCTTGATTTATTAGGGGGTTTCAATGAGGGCCAGACACTGGGCAAATTGGCCATCTGTGAGGATGATTTTGCCCGCATGGTCTGACCATCTAGGGGAAAGATTTTCTGATAAAGAAGTCCAGCTCAAAAAGTTTTGCCCGCCTGTGTAAACCAGTTGTCAGATGTTTCATTAATTAACATTTTCAGCAACAGGGCAACTGGATGTCACAGGCAGGCAAAATTTTATCCTCTGTAGATGTTCAAACCAGGCGGGCAAAATCATCCTCTCAGCCAGTCAGTTTGGCCGGTGCCCAGCCCTTAATGAGGCCCCCGAGCTGCCCTGCTGCTGAAAACATTTTGCCAAATCCCCTGAATTATTGACAGGAGTCTCTACCTAAACGAAGTGAAATACATGTACATGACACATCTTAGTGTATAATCATCAGTGAAAATTAAAGTAATAAATTTATTTCCCACATTTGTAGGTGTTGTTGCATTCATTGAGGCACGTTCCAACACTGAAAACAGATTTGAAGGAATCTCAAAACAGATGGAAATGCTGGGAGCAACAGTAAGTCACATACTGCAAATTCAAAACTGCGACAACCCTTGTTACATTCTATTTCAGCAGCCTTTTCCAATGGTTGCTTTTGGGGCTCGTCCACTTTTGGGTGTTTTAAAGTATACTGCATACATGTATGGAACAAGTTATTTTCAAATATATGGGTCAGCCTCAACATGCATACATGTACATGTATTAGTACAGTAACTTGTTAAATGTTGATGGAAATATTGAGACACATAATATACATTAATATATAACTGTACAGGACAAAAATTATTAGCTGGTCTGGTATTGTGTAGTTCCAGAAAATATCCATACCT